ACAATAAGTTGAGCGACACACGAATTTGTTCAAAGTTCGAACGACTTGGTTGAAAGTCTGATTTGAATTTTGCACAATGCTATTCGAACGAACGAGTATTTCCCAAATATCACTAAATTGAGCAACAAATTTTGTTCAAAGTTGAATTGTTCGAAGTTCAATCGACTTCTGATTGAATGTCTGTTCTAAATTTCGTCAATGCTTCCCGAACAAACGAGTATTAAACTGAACGACACATTTTGTTCAAAGTTCAATCGACTTCTGATCGAAATTCTGATCCGATATTTGTACAACGCTGTTCAAACGAATATTTCAGTATACTAAATTTACACACGAATCTATTCGAAGTTCAATCCAATTGGAGTCTAATTGTAAGTCTGATCCGCGTTTTCCACGACGCTGTAAGATCTCGAGGAACGATATAATTCAATTTCAGGCATTACGCCGGAACGATAATCGAAGACGACGCGAAACTGCGTGGCACAAGCCGCGAGTCTAACGTGATTTAACTTGGCTGCTTGAGAAAAAAATCGAGCGAATTAGCAAAGAGCAGGAAAAGGATGGCAGAGATGAAAGCGAGGCAAACCGAAATAAAAACAAGAATACGATCGGAAAACTGTTATCCTGTGAAGAGACGGATGGAAAGGAGAGTAAAGATAGAAAAGAAAAGAGAGAAAAAGAAAAGGCGGAGAAAGTTACAGCTGCGTTCTCATCTTTGTTTCAAGATCTCCCAAGCAAACGAAGATTCAGTGGAAGCAACGGCACCACCGGATGAAATCTGTTTCGTGGAATTATTGAGAAGTGCTATTTACTTTTATCTTCTCCTTAAACAGAGGATCTCGAACAACTTCGACTCAATCGTCTCGAGCTTCTCACTTCCGCTAAGGAGATGTCATTCCACCCTCTCTCGCGTACGATTTACCTCGACGGAGTTTCAAACCGAATTCACAGTCACAGTCGTTCGAGAGACGTCTCCTCGTGTCCGGCGGCGATGAAATAACACTCGTGGCCGAAAGTTCCTAACCTTGACACCGAACTGAACGTGCCGATAATTCACGACACCACCTCGGGTGGAAGTAGAAAAGCGGGTGACGGAGGGAGGCGACAACTGGTCGGAAGAAAACGAAAGGAAAAGGTGGTGGAAGATTACCCGAAGGGACCGGAATCGTGCAGGACGATTCACTTCACTTCCTCCGTTCGTAAGGGCACGTCGTCACTCGGCAACCCTCTCGACGGCTCTACACTCCTCACGCGGCTTCCGAGGTTTCCGCGTAAACGTCACTCGGATCCCGGGTGGTCGAAAACGGCGACGCGAGCCAGCGACGGTCGGATCTCGCCAGTTCGGACGCGCAAAACGGGGAAAAGAAAGAGTGGAACGAAGAGATCGGGTGGACGGCGAACGTGACGAAGAGACGTAAGCCGGCACACGGCGGTGGTTCCTCCTCCGTCCCCGAAGAACTACCCGCTCGACCACGACTTTCTGCCGTTCCTCTATGTATATGTGTATGTATGCATGCACGTACGTACGTTTCGTTCGTTCGTTCGTTCGTTCGTTCGTTCGTTCGTTCTCGACGACGCTCCCCACCCTGGCGGCTAGGCTACGCGCTCTACGCTACGGACAGCTCTCTCTCTCTCTCTCTTTCTCTCTATCTCGCGCGCGCGCGCGCCACGAGAGAACGGCAGCCCTCCTCCAGCTGTCGTGCAAGAACCTCCCTTGGTGGCGCCTTAAACCACCCTCGGCCGGGTTTCGCCACGTCGCCGCCAGATCGCGCCAGCGGGCCCGCCGTTCGCCGATCGATCCACGTGACGTCACGTGGCAGGCCCCACGCAAGCGTCGTCGGGCCAATCTCCGGCTCCGTATCGTCTCGTGCGGCTCGCCGCGACACGTCCTCGTCTTCATCTAGATACCGACTCCTCTCTTTCACCCGATCTTTTCTTTTCTTTTC